GGGAGGGAGAGAGACAGGGAGAGGCAAGGAGGGGGGAGAGAGAGAGAGAGAGGAAGGGAGAGAGTTTTTTTTTTCCTCAGAAAATGGGACAACTAAGAGGAAGGAATCACAAATCAGAATGGCTTTAATATTTCTTTCCCATGTCTTATGCTTGGTATCCTTAAACGCAAAACTCCATGAAGCTGGTTGCAAAGGGAAAAGTTTTAACAAAGAAATTAACTCTTGCATCTTGGTTTTTCTGAGTCCACTAAGTTGCATGTGGACCAATTCATTACTCCGTTGGATATGCCTCTGATTTGTGAAGGAGTTAGCAATATTGGTGTAAGAGGTTACCAAATGGTTAGAAAGTTTATTTATTTTGAATTTAATTATCTAATTCCGAGGCATTTCTGAAGGCCTACTAAATTTACATTTGTATAGTAATGGTTGTGTATTCTTGATGTTGTAGTCTGTAGTAATTGTATTTTAAACCTTAGGATGCATTAAAATTTAATTGGGCCCTCTGTACATTACTTCAGCTGAGGTCACTCAACATGGAAGAAGTAGAAAAAAATTAAACACTTGGAGATTCTGCTACAAGAAAAACACTTGGAGATTCTGCTGAGACATTTTAAACTGCAAGCTTTATGCATAGTTTTTCTCTAAGATTCGTTATTAGTGCACAATTTACAGTACATGATGCTCACGCTCTTTGTGTGGAGTTGGTGTGGGTACAGAACACATCCCAACTCCTTTTCTCATACTCAGCCCTTTCCTTCCCTCACTCCTCCTCTGTCTCTTGATCTTCTTCCCCTCTGAGAAAGATCTATCTCCCTACTTCATATTATCTATCATTTATTTGCTTTTTATTTATAATTTGGGTTTCTCACATAGGAAAAACTATGGGGTAGTTAAGCATATGTGGCTGATTTATTTTACTTAACATTATGGTCTCAAGGTGGGTTCATTTTCCTACAAATGACTCAAGTTATCTTTCTTTCTGGTACAGAAGTGCTCCGTTGTGTGTAAATATTATGTTTGAGATATTTTTAAATTAAGATAAAAATAGTGAATCTTATTCTAGCTGTTATAGTGGAACAGTAGCTACGTGAATTATAGTACACTTACTTATGATAAAACATGCGAGCCATGCCCATTCTTTGCTTTTCGCCTCCTGATAGAACATCTTTCCAGTCCATAACAGCATCCCACCCTAAAAAAAAAGGATCTAGATAATTTGCCGAATGATTAGTTTCTATCCTAGACAAATGATTTCTGGTAAGGTCTAACTGTTAACATGCAGAACCTAGTATTTTACAGAATATATATTTGGACAAACACTTCCTGTTCAAGCGTTTTGCTTTAGATCTGATATTCTTTTAATTGTCACAATTCCTTACCATGACAAATCATTTTTACGAGACAAGATCTCACTACGTAATTCAGGTTGACCTTAAACTCACTATGGAGCCCAGGGTGGCCTTGAACTCAAAGCACTCCTTCTGCCTCAGCCTCCAGAGTGCTAGGGTTACAGGTGTGCACCACCACACCTGATAATAACAAATCATCTTGTAAGAATTCTAAACACTGCACCTTAAAAACTGTTTCTAAGTATTCCGGAAAGGTTGGTGGACTGCTACCTATTTTGGAGGGGAGTGGAAGAAGTGACCAACAAATTTGCATTTGTAAATTGCAAGGCCTATGAAGGGGAAGAGAGGAACTAATTTAAATGGCACCCACATGCCTGGTCTTTCATAAAGTTCCTTGGCGTATAGTATATTCCTGAAAAGGTAGACACTATCACTTGATACAAGTGAGCATTACTCATACAAGTTAGTAACCCAAAATTCACTGAGGAACAGTCATGTCTAAGTTAAGGGTCAGCTGTCAATCCAATGGTTCATATCTTGGCCTCTGTAATGTTTTTATGCTTCTACTGAGCAATCTCTCTCAACCAAAAACAAAACCACACCCCCGCTTCTACAGTGCCCATTTTTCAAAGAAAATGACTGCTAAAACTTGACAAATACTTAGGGCAACATTTTCAAATCCTAAGTATTTGGGACCTAATTCTCATACTTGGAAAAATTCCATGCTTGGTGCCTTTGTATTTCTCTCTGCTGAACTTTCATCATTATTAAAATTTATAAATGACTTGTTTGAAGGGAAACAAAAAAAAAGCAAAGTCTTCATTTTCTATGCACTGAGTATCTAAAAAGCCAAATTACCAGAATGATTAATTTTATCATTTACTGATCAGAAGACCTTGGGATTATTTTTTAATGTCCAAATGTTCAGAACCTTTGAGAGAAAAACATGTTAATTGTTAAACATAGAGTGCACATTTGTTTCTTAGTGTCTCTTTTCCTTTAAAAATTATTACAAAGTTCACTGCATTAAAAATCTAAAATTATAACTAAGAACTAAAAACAGTGGTATATGTATCAATGAGTGGCTGACAAGTACGTGACAGCAATAGGGAAAAAAGTTTAAATACTTTAAACTTTTGAGTAATGTGAAAGGGTCACTTTTTCTAAAAATTAAATGAATAAATATAATAAAGTAATATATTAAGAAAATAAATACTAAAGTATTTGAAGGGAAAAGACTTTCCCTTATTTCCTAATTGACACTCAATTCCACCTTCCAAAGTAAATCAGTGTTCTTTTTCTTGGGTGAACTTCTAGAAATTCCTGTCTATTTAAAAACATAACCTCAAAACTTTATATTAGGGGAAAATATCAAAATCTTATCTGATTTAAAATTCGTGCCTCCAGGGAAATCTGCTGAAATAATGCTTTCATTATGAATGAATGTTATGCTATTTATGAAATATGTGATGATGTGAAAAATAGACTCCGATTGCTACACAATGTAGAAATATTCTAAGCTGAAAATAATTTTCCCCTGACCACTAAGAAGGCACAAAGGAAATGTATTTGTGTCAATGAAAAGTTTAACTTTTGCTATTTTAATAAACTACATTCTTTGCTCTACCACACCTAGATACTGCATGGTCACGTGACACATTAAACCAGAGCTGCTGAGTCATAATGTCTCTGGTGCTGAGACTACGCCAGCTTAGAAGAAAATTATTTTCCTGCTTCCCATGTTGCACAGATTTGTGTAGCTCATATCTTTCATATTTTTTGAACCATTCAATGGAATGGAATGTACTTCTTATTGCCATCCTTTACTGAGCAAAGGATGAGCTGATCTAAATAGGACTTCAGAAAGCTTCTTCCAAAGTAAGTGATATACTTGCAAACTGATATGTTTTGTTTTGTTTTTGCTTTGCTTGAATGTTTTCTCTTTGATGAAGCAAGTAAAACTAGTTTCCTTGGAAATTTTTATATATGAAGATATACTAGTCCTTATTAATGTCTAAAAAGCTAAGTGACAGGACAGCACAATAGCATACCCTAGCAACAAACATGACTTAAAAGTCAGATCTGTGTTTCATTTCCTTAGCTGCCACTCACGATACGACCCTACTAACCTGAATTCAATCTGTAAAACAGGGATAGTACCTCCATTGTTAGACTAATAAGAATAGCAATTGAAATAATATCTATATGAGTTATTTAATATTCGGCATTATAAACACTCAACAAACCATAAAAATTATGGATGTTAAGGTTGGAACATTCTTTTTTTTCTAAAATGGGGTAGGGGAGAGGGCACACCAATTTTATCACCTGCCTAAGGCATGGGGATATGAGACACTGGGTTTGTAGTATTCTTAAAACTAATTCTAGAGCTTCTTCATGATTTTTAAAAAGAATAGACTATCTCATGTTTATTTTAAATCTCTATTTGGATTATTGGATTTCAAACCTACTCAAAATAACTTGCCCAAGATAAAAATGTAACATTTACTTTGCCACACTGCAGTATTTTGTAATCAGGAAGAAACTGATCACATGAAACAATAAAATAATCTGCTTTTCTTATATAGTAGAAATTGCAAACACCATAAAAATAAATGTAATAAAATATCTCTCACCTACTTCACTTGCTTACTGTAAGGAGCAAGTGAAATAATATATATGAAATTGCCATATAAAATATTAAAATACCATCACACAAAGACAAAATACCATTCATATCGACATAACTCTAAAATAACCATTCATTACTAATTCTTGTGTACTCAAGTGCCACTGTGCTAAGTCCTTTAGATATATTCGTATTCAACCTTGTCAGAAACCTTACAAAATATATTTATCCCACCGGGTGTGGTGGTGCACACCTATAATCCCAGCACTTGGGAGGCTGAGGCAGGAGGATTGCTGTGAGTTCGAGGCAAGCCTGGGCTACATAGTGAGTTCCACATCAACTACCTAGTGAGACCCTGTCTCAAAAAACAAAAACAAATATATATATATATCCACATTTTCCAGTGTAAGATTCAGAAAGCAGTGGTAACTAGGTCTGAACCTGGAACTGTGAGTTCAAAGCTCATATTCTCCATCACTGCGTGCCACTGCTGCTTCTGATAGTGTGAATGGGTTGTGAAGGGGAACATAAAAGCCATGCAAAATTAAACCTGGAATTCCGGTTTGTTATTTTAGTGATGTTGCTAGACTATGCAATTATGAATTATCAAATTATTTCAAAATATGATTATTTAAAAATAACATTTGCCTACATGCAGAAGTGATATTCTTATTCTTTCAAAAATGTCATATGCTGCTAACATCACAATATAGAAGTTTCCATACATTTTTTTTCCTGTGCCTCTTGGGAGAGGAAAAAAAAAAGTGAACTGGTAACATTATTGGATTGAAAACAAGAAGAAAGTTCTGTGACAACCACTTATGAAATTATTGCATTTGATATGAACTGAGGGATTGGCCGGTGAATATTTCTGTCACAGACTTCACACAGGCCTAGAGTGGTTTTGGCTTCCGGGATACTTATATATTGAAATATAGAAGAAAAACACCTTTGTTCCTTCTAGCTGTAGTGTCAAGGAGACACAATAAACTTAGTATGCTGTATCGGTCAGAACACAAGATCTCTATGTGTTTATTACGTTCCAGTGGTAGCATATACTCAAACCATAAATTAAATATAGCTCCATTTATTTTTTCAAAAGGAAGTTAAATGCTTCAAAAACTGGCAAACCCACCTCCTTCTCTTTGCACTATGTGATACAGGTGGACGCTGTGTAGAATACATTCTAGGTCCTGGTCTGTGTAACCTTTGTCGTGCATATCATCCACCGAGTCAGGATAAATGACCTGATCCCGAAGACTGCCAAGAGACATGTATGGCCTGTAAAATAGCAAGCACACAAGAATCAAGTGCGAAGTCACTACAGCATCTTCAGAATGACAGCTTGGTTGTCTGAAAACAACAGGAGCAAGCTTTAACAACTACACTTCTGGGAGTATTTCTGGAACCTGTTGAGTACTTCTCTGCCAGGCAATGTAAAAGAATACTCTGTTATGTATATATATATAAACTTATTCAGCTGCGGATGTAGCTCAGCGGCACAGTGCCTGCCTGGCAAGTGCAAGGCCCTGAATTCAATTCCTGGTACAAAAAAGAAAAACTTATTGAGCTGGGCGTGGTGGTTGTCACACGCCTGTAAACCCAGCACTTGAGAGCCTGAGGCAGAAGAACTGCAATAGGTTCATGGCTAGCCTGGGCTACCTACTAAGTTTGAAGACCCCATCTCAAAAAACAAACAAAGCAAATAATCAAAACAAAACAAAAAAGTATTGAGACACAGATGCAAGAAAAGCTTCCATAAGAAATCATTTGAAATTTTCAGTGGAGAAATAGTTACTTTGCTTTGCTGTATGTGATAATAGTTGCTTCTATACTTTAAATTTCTTTGGATTATACATGATAAAATTTGGGATTTTGCCTCAGCAGTGTAAAGAGACAAAAGGAGAAAAAGCCATCCTTAGCATGAAAAAGTGAAAATCAAAATGATATTGAGTCTCAGGTTTATCAGAGTGGCAAAAATTCAACAGCTCAATAATTTACTACAGGCCAACAGGAACACAGGAGCTTTCACAGTCTGGTAAAAATGTGAATGATGCAGCCCCCAGATGATGAGATCTGACAAATGATATGTTATTTGCTCTATAACCTACTTCTGGGATTTTTTTTTTTTTTTTTTTCCCCCGTACTGGGTATCCAACTCAGGACCTTGCGCTTGTGTATAACCTCCATCTGGGCACTGACTTGGAGCATACACTTCTAAAAATACCAAAAAGAAATGCATACAGCCATCTATTTGAGTATTATTCAAAATAGCAGAATATTGAAAAATGCTTAAATGCCCAAATGAAATTATCTCAATAAACTATAGTATTTTCCACTATGTAGCTACAGAAAAAGGATAAGTAAGGTATTTATGAATTGATATAGAGGGATTTCCATGATACATTGTTAAGTTGAAAATAAAATGTGAAAGTAAATAAATAGCAAGGCTTTTTAAGAATAGCATTGATATACTTAACTAGACAATTCTTTATTGCCAAGGACTGTTCTATGAACTGTAGGATACTTAGCAGTTGACCAGGTCTCTGGGTCTAGATGTCTCACTCCGCCTAGTGGTGGCTCAAAAAATGACCTACTATCCTGTGTCCACTAGGGGACGAGATAGTCCTCAGTTAAGAATCAGATAGATAAGGGGCTGGGGATTTAGCTCAGTGGTTCTGCTGCCTGCCTCGCAAGTACAAGGACCCGAGTTTGATCCCTGGTACTCCCCCGCCAGTCAAAGAATCAT